TTTGTGAGGGCTATCCAGAACTTTTAACAGATTTTATAGAGCTCTTTAAAACTTTTTTTAATTTTACATTTATTAAGTTCATATCTATAATTTATAACATTTCCATTTAATTCTACAATCTTTTGTTATTAAGACTTTTGATCGATCTCTGTGGGAGCTATAATATTTAGAACTCTCAATAAAATTAAACTCTTTAAAAATTTTTCTTTTCATTTTACAACAAAGTTTATATCTGTAATCAATCGTAACTTTTTCGATTTCACTTCTACAGATTTTGTTAATAGGATTTTTGATAGATCGCAGGAGCAATCTAGAATTCTCAATAGAATTATTTAATTCCAAAAATTAAAAAAAAATTTAAATTTTAAAATTTAAGTTAAAAAATTACAAATGATATAGGTGTCGACTTGATAGTTGTAACATTAACAAAAATTTTGGACAGACCTGTGAGTTCTAATGATAGTTAATAGATACAAAAATCTTAATGAGAAAATTGCATTTAATTAATATTTTTCAATTTACGATTATTTTGAGGTATTAGTTTTTAAGTAATTTATCCCACTTTTTGTACTTTTTTAAACGGAACTATTTCTAAAATATATCAAATTATTTCTTAAAACTCTAAAACAGTATGAAATCTATCAAAATTCTAATAAAAATGGTATGTATCGATAACAGAGGATTGCATGAAGTTAATCCTTGTTATCTTTGCATTGCATTTTCATGCCTTTAATGGTTAGAATTGTTTTTTAAACTATTAAGTTATAAACTATTAAGTTAATAGTCTTTTAAAACTATTAAGAACTTTGAAACTGTATTAGAAATCTTATACATAGAACTTTGAAAAAAGTTAATTTTGTAAATAATCAGCCTAGCTTTACAAATGGTTATTTTCGTCGATTTCGTGGAGCTTTTAAAATTTTAGCTGAAAATTTCACGTTGTTTATCTCACTGCTATTCAGAGCAAAATGAATTGTGGCGGATACGTTTATTTAATTATTTTTAGAATATCCGCGTTTTCTCTCTCTCTCTCTCTTCCCTCTTCCCCATTCACCCATTCACTCACAATCAGTCAGAAAAACGGAAATACTCTTGGATAATAATTAAAGCTACGGTACATATCGATTCGTACAAGACATTAGCCGCGTCGACTACTTGCTCGGGTTATCTCTCTCTCTTTCTGTAATTAATCGAGATATATTTGTGTGAGTACAAACGTATGTAATGTAAATTGTATCAAACGAAAGGTCAAGAGTCGAGCGTGAGATAATCAGTATGCAAATAATTAACGCATATGCAGAAAGATATAACGAGGAACCACCGCTAATCAATATCCCTTTAATATATAACATATAGCTACTGTTAGCTCGTTAAAATTTCAATACGTCTCCTTGCAAGCGTGAGGAATCTCGTTGCTGTGCAGATTTGAGTGTCAGACACTTTTGAACATGTTTACGAAGAGGATTAAGATATTCTGCATGTGAATAAGGGATATATGATTAAAATCGAGCAACACGGCAAGTTAAGATATGAAAGATGCATATGTTGGGAAGTGCTGACTAGGGGAATGGTTCTTAGTAAAGAGGCATACCATATATTGCTTCTTTTATATACAGGATGTTTGAGAAGTAATGAAAAGTTTTGTCACATAGGGATAGAATGAATTAAACTGAAAAGAAAAGTCCTCTACCATTTTACAATTTTCGCAATAGTTAACGAGATATTAATTTATAGAAATGTCCAAATTTTCGCCTGGCCCACCGCCAAATGCAAGCGCACGGCTGGATATTTTTATAAATTAATATCTCGTTAACCAATGCGAAAATTGTAAAGGTGTTAGAGGACTTTTCTTCTCAGTTTAGTCCATTCTACCCCTATATGACAAAACTTTTCATTACTTCTCAAACACCCTGTATAAATTATATGAAAAAACAAAACAATTAAACACCTTTCTGTTTCTTAATCTCTCTGAACATCTCAATCTCTTTGAACGTCTTAATGAATCTGAAATCTTTCTCCCTCGGCTCGACTCTAGTGCCTTCTGTATACCGACGCTCTACTGGCGCCAATCTCTATAGAGGGCCATCCTCTTTCTCTATTTCCATATCATTATTGATTACGTCCTGTCTAGAAACTCTCTAATAAAAGTTACGACATAAGAGAGCTGCATTTTGATCGGTCTGATATGTTTTAACAGTTCCCGTCTATATTTGAATACCTATATTCGTGCTACACTCTTAAATTTCAACAATGCATTACTAATTTTTTAACAATATGCAAACACTCACAGTATAAGGAGGGATACAGAAGGGACAAGACCCTGTTTTTGATTCAGTTATGCAGATTTTATTTTTGCTTACGTATCAGAAGCGGGCTATGTTTTTGGTGGCATCAATTCCAATTAAAGTAGAAAACCCATAGTTTCTCCGTTATTGTTATCACGCTGACATATTATTGCGCTTGTCTTAGCGATGAAGCACTATTGTATCTCCTAAACAATAGTTGATTAAAATAATTAATTTTATATGAAGCAACGTGACTATGCGTGAATGTATCCAACTGATCATCAACTTGATGAAAGATTCTGGAAAGGTAAGATTTTTTATGTCCTTTTTTTGTTGAGTTCAGGCGATGATTCCTCATACAATTTGATATATACAATACTTAGCTACCAAAGACATGGCGTGCGGACTGAAAACTTGTCTGAAAACTCGTCGGAAAAAGATCAAAGGTACCGACGTTGTTTATTTCTACTGTTTATCCTTATATGTGATTTAATCTTGCAGAGAAAAGAATTTACTGTTGCAAGCGTCCAATTTTTCACACTATTTACCTAACATCTTTTGCTAACATTTTTCGTCCGTAAAACACGTTTGGCATTTCAAAGAAATCTTTTCATTATGTAGCCTTTGGCTACTGAATTATTGCAAAATGAGGCTGCATACCGAACCATTTTTAATAACTGTCAGTACAAAATACAACGTATACATATACGTTCTGTCAACGCAAGTTTAGATTATTAAGTTAAAAATGCATTAAGATTAGACAGAGATACAATACATATATATATATATATATATCTCTGTTATCGATTTTGTTAAAACTACTACCCTGCATATGAAAGTCGGTTCGTGTTGGTTCGTCTCGCAACTCTTATTATAAGAGGTCTGTTCTTTTTTTACTGAACTTTTGCACTAGTTCATCTTTCTTCCTTTTCTTTCCAGGAGAAGAGAACAATGAACTGGTGCAAAATTTCAGCCAAAAAGGACAGGACTGAGAGAGAGAGAGAGAGAGAGAGAGAGAGGGGGGGGGTCTCCAAAATTCTATCTTATATTTTCTAGAAAATCTTACAGGGAGAAAGTGGCAAACTGCACACATCACCTGACCCTTTATAATATAACTTCGTAATATGCACAAAATATAAATATCTGAAATGTAAAAATTTGTATTTTCAGTTTATGTATGCCATATATTGAGTTGAGGAAGAAGTCTTTTTACATAAGGACATTTATTTTGCAACATTCTCTTCGTTAAAAATGAACGAAATTTAAATTTAAGAAAAGGGTTTTAAAGTTTGAAGTTTCTACTTTTGAAAGATTACTATATTTTTTTAGTTTCTGTGAGTTTGGCAATTTTTACATATAAAAAAACTACGAGCTTAAAAAGATAAAAACTTTTCTTTTTGTTTTATGAGTTCTTTCACGTGCTTCAAAAAAATTTGCGAAAATTTTTGACTACCTATCATAAAGACTTGAAACTTTCCCTACAAAATCATTTTTTAAAGTTGTTCCTATGACTTTTCGTTCTCAAGTTATTCGCGAAGTAAGTTAAGGAACATTCTGATTTTGATAGCTCATAACCGTAAAAAATCATACTGCAATTAAAAAATAGATTCTTGAAGCTGAAACTTTGCTCCATCGAAACAACAAATGGTGGGTTGAGAAAGGGTTTTTTTTACATATATGTAAAAAACTTTTTCTCCAACTCAATATACATATATAGAGTACCCTGTAAAGATCCGAAAACAACGCTTAAAAAGAGATTTCTGATATTATTTTAAAACGGAAATTCTAATACTAAAATGATGAGACTATAATAACCTTTGAATTATAAGCGTTTAAAATTAACGAATCATTTCGTCTAAAGTTAGCGCGGTCAGGAGTGGCACAATGCAAAGCACTAAACGAGAAAACTGACTTATCACTTCTTTTGTTAATATCGATTTTAAAATTATATATGTGAATATAAGATTTTATTTATTGACATTTCTATAACATACGCGTTGTACAATAACATTATACAACATTTTCCTTTTTATAATACAATACATATAATAATATGATCTTTCGAAAACACTATAATAAAGTTCATATTTTATTAAAAAATAATTATTATTCTAAAATAATAATATGAACTTTTTATTATAATGTTTTCAAAAGGTGTCTTGAAGTCAGTTATAAAAATGTGTAATAAAAAAATGAGAGGTTCTATTTAAAAAATTTTAGATAACCTTGTCCCAACCCCTAAGGATACCTCCTCAAGATCAATCAAGATAATCACTTTCTTTCCCTCTTGAAACCAATTGAAAGCTGTTATCTGAACTATTTTTTTAATTTGCAGATTTTGAGAAAATTTATCGAATAAATTAAAAGAAATGTTCTTTAAATAAAGCTTGTTAAGATAGGTAATAAAAAAAAAGCGTTTTTAAAATTCTCCTTTAAATAGTAGAATAATATTACACTTCAAACGATAAAGCTTATAAGGTAAAAAAAATATACATTGCAATATTTGTGACAGTCGTAGTTTACGACTGTCACAACATCATGCAATTGGTATCCAAAAGGAACAGATTGATATATTCTATATGAAAGTTCACATTATCATAGAAGCTTGCAGCAACATTTTTAATATTACTGCATTATTGCTGGAATATTACAATATTGCTGCAATATTGTTGAAATGATTTGCACTGTATAATCGTTAAGGTTGGTAATTCTCACCTAAAGAATATCACCAGCACTACCAGTTCTCGTGGTCCTCGTTGCTGGTCCCATCTGATTGTCTAGGTTTGCCGTTGGCCTGCAATAGATGATCTTTCGGAAGGCTTTTCGGAAGTGATCGCTCAAGAAGGCATAGAGGAAGGGATTAATACAGCTGTTGGTGTAGGCCAGGATATGACTGACTATCTGCACCATTATAGTCGCCGTAGTAAGCGGATACATGTTCAGAGACTTAAGCACCAGTATCATCTGCAACATGATGTTACGGATATGATATTATGGATAATAAGGTAACAAAGAAAAACGTCTCTTTCGGACAGGTCTTTTTACCTGTATAGGGCACCAGCAAAAGGCGAAGACAACGACAACGATGACAACGAGTCTGGTGACCCGTCTCCTCCCACGTCGGTTCTCGGCGCTAGTGCGCACACTGCGCCACAACCTAACTAGCATGAACATGTAGAAAACGCATATTAACACCAGGGGCATCACGTAACTTGAAAGGAAGAAGGGCACCTGGTAGGAAGTCCAGTCATACTGATCCAGGATCCGGCAGGCTGTCAAATTTTGTCCTTCGAACATGTAGTGAATCTACAAAAATACATGATGCATCATATAACAACTAAATATGTAACGTTGAGATATTGCGATCGGGGCGCATTTCACGGCACGCTTACCTTGCCGTGGATCACAAAGGCAGGGATGGACAACGTTAAAATCATTACCCACAGAATGCAAATCGCGTGTATGGCATGAGTCTCTGTCCTCCACGACATCGAAGCGATCGGATGCACGACTGCTAGATATCTGCAAGCAATTCCCTATCTTAACTAATGACTTATTTCCGATAAATTATCATCATTATAGCTTGAATCATTAACAACGGTAATTACATTTTTATTTTAGTAAAATTTTCTAAAAGATGGTAACATAAAAGGCACAAGAAAAAAATATCTTCTGTCATTCCGTAATTTTTTCAATTTATCGTAAAATTATACTGAGAGTTTGCAAGTTAATTTAAATGTGGAACTCAACCTCCGATGTTCTATTTTTAAATTACATCGAAGTTAATCCATGCTCCGAACACTAACATTTAAAAACAACTATAAAAAGTAATTCTTGCTTCTTTCTTTATATTCGCCTTAAGAGAAGAAGTTAAGAAAAGAGATCTGAAAAGCGCCTTTTACCACATTATAGTTTCGTGTTGTTCTGACTGAAAGTAGAATGTACAAAATCAATTAAAAAAGATCGATTAACTACATTCACGTAAATTTTTAATTCGATGTCGATGGGCATGATAAAACGTAATAACTTGTGTAGGAAATGGCTGTGGCCTTAATAACAAAAGACACGGTAGCGTCTCCCGTCAAGTACATTTTTGGAAGTTTTTAACACATTAAAAACATCTTTTTTATTTATTATTGTGAAAGAGACGCTACAGCTTATTCTTTACAGCAGTGCTCGAAATTAGTTACTCATTTCGAGCTGATTCCCGAACCGACGCCCACTGTCCCTCCACTACCGCTCGCCGCTCGACGGTCGAGCTGCCGATCGCGTGGCTGGCGCTATGCGTCAGGAGCATCTTTCAGTGAAAAATATGCTGGTAGCATACTTTTAGGAAAAACTTGTAAAACACTAACATAATTTTTGTAAATAAAATCTTCTATTTACATATATATATTTTTTACAAAAATATAAATGACACGATAATTAGAATTAAGATATTTTTTTATATCACCTTATTTGAGAGGTACGTACTATTGCAGATGCGTTTTTTTTTTAAGTGGTTTCCCTCGTATGTCTATTTCACTAAAAAAATATCGAAGAAGATGATAAAATATACGGCTCGTATATTTTATCATATACTCACTCACTCACTCACACACAACACACACACACACACACACACACACACACACACACACACAAACTCGTGTATATATATATATATATATATGTAGTCATATAGAAACAAAATCTGTACTTTTTGTTTTATTCATAAAAAAATATGTTACTACAATTCGAAACTGTGTAACAATCAATTCGAGTACGATGTTAATTGTCATATTTTTGAAGTTTTGATTAAAATAACTTATTTTTGTACAGTGATGCATTCTTTTAAATAAATAAATGTAGGAATATATTATTTATAACGTATATGGTATTTTAAAATCTTATGTCTACTTCCTTCTAAAAATTATTGTTTAAAAACTGTCATAACAGGCCTTGGTCTCTTCTATTCTTTGCTCTATTTTCGTTTACTCGCCTATGTTCCACTTTCCTAAAATTAAACTTGAAAATTTGTGCGTACTTATTGTATACGTACAATGTTGTAGATGTTATAAATCGTATGGTATGTATTGTATATAATTTAAATCATACGTGTGCGTATTTTCAATATATTTGACGTAGAGAAGCGTTTACTAAATTTTATTACTCTATATCAGAGAGATGAATATTATTTTTATTTAATACAGTGTTTCCTAAAATTTGCAACTCAAAATACTATAACAAATTTTTTTTTAATTTAGTAGAAAGATTATTTGTAAATTTGTTTTTTAGACGGAAGTTTTTAAGGTAATAAAGGTTTACTTTAAATATGGCTGCTTATTACTATAGATTAGATAACCACGTGTCCATACACGTTATGTGCACTATACAAGATTTTCCGCTGGTATTGAATGTTAGAATACAGTACATGAGTCGCATATGCGGTAATTTAGTAAACGCTAGTGAGCGCACACTTCAGCACACATACTAATACAAGCAAATGACTATTGAAACATTATTTGTAATTGACTACATTTAAACTCTCATATCTTAGAAATTATATTACGTAAAATAAAAACTTACTAATAATTATTGAACTTTATTTCTAAAAATTAATGAACTTTATTTCTAAAAAAACTTTTTGTTATAATTAGAAGGCCATAAAAGAGTCTACGCGCGATTATTGATATACACAATATCAGTTTATTGAAACGACATAATCCTTAATTAAATTCCAGTTTAAGACGCAAACGTTTCAACCAAAAATTTTGATCCTCTCGAGTGTAATTGTTAATATTACAAGTTTTTAAGTAAAAAATTCACTAAACAATAAAGTTATTATTTAAGATTATGTGATCACAATACAAAAGAAATATTATAGTTATATGTCAATAAAATTATAGGCAATCTAATTACTAATTAGTCGATCTGGTCATTCGTCTTTTCATCGTAACTATAAAAATGTCAAAATGACTTCCAAAAGTCGATTGTGAACAGTGGTTAGTTGATTTGACCAATTGTAAATATCCCAATAACTCAATAACTTCTATTATGGTATATTATGTCATTATAATTATTTCACTATTAAATTTTTTTATTCTTTGAGCCGACACTTACACTTTTATTATTAATTTTTCGTTATAGTATTTTAAATTGCAAATTTTAGGCACTAGCTGAATCAGCCACTGTTCTTGCCTTCTCTCTCTCTCTTTTTCTGTTACTAGCTAGATCATCTTGTATACTCATTCTCATTAATAGTCATTATCTGCACACAAATGTACCTACAGGTGCTTCATCTAACTTTTACGCGCAGTTTAATTCTTCAAAATGAACCGTTTTATGATATTACAAATAATAGCTTATAAACTACATTAAATTTTCAATACAATAATTTTGGAAGTGTGTTAGCACTGTCAAAGCTTGGTATCGCAAAAAATAATCTTGACGTACTAACCTGTCGAGACTCATCAGTACCAGGGTGTAAACGCTAGCGTAAGCCGTGACAATAATCATATACTGAACGATCTTGCACCAGACGTTGCCAAACGGCCAGTATGGTAATACGAAGTCGGTGGCCGTGAACGGTATACAAAACATAACGAATAACAGATCAGCTATGGCGAGGTTGATGATTAGAATGTTCGTGGTCGACCTCATTCCAGGATTCGCCGCCACTACCACGACCACCAGCAAATTCCCGATCAGACCGAGAATTCCAATTATCCCGAAGAATAATGGTACTATCACCACTAGAATTCTATGCACAAATTCATATTCAAAGTCGTGGTAATAGTTTCTACAGGACTCAACATCGTCCTCGAATGAAGTAAACTGCGTACTACAGTTAAGAGCATTGCTCGCGTTTGCCACTTCCGGGTTCATACTCTAATCGAGGTCGACCTGCGATCTGCGATTAAATTAACATGTACGATCTCTTTGTAATTGCGTTACGATAAACTTGTTAGGCTGAGTTGGATGAAATAGGAACTTTGCGTAGCATATATATTGTAGAGTAAAATGGATGGAAAATAGAATTGAAAATATCCTTTCTTCCAGCAAAGTTCATTCTAGCTATCAAACGAAGCACCAGTAAATCGTTAATTGTAAACATTTACCAGCAGCAATATTTATAATTGACAATTCGCTGATGCATTGTTTTTTTCATGGTATCATTCTTCATTTTAAATCTTTCTTCAAATTTTGAGAAATTTCAAGAATTAAAAGATTTTGAAATAATAAAGTTTAGAGATGCCAGCTGTACTCATTGCATGCTAGACGTTAACATAATTATTTACTGAGCTTTGTTTTTTATTCAAATTACTGAAAAATACAAATAAAATATTAATTTCATAATATTGTAATAATTATGATACTAATTAATTAGAAAAGATCCTATATTTAATTGAAGCGGATATTAGTACTTAAATATTTCTGTGAAAATTTAATACATATCTAATTCTATAAACTGCGCGTCGAAATCTTTTCTTTTAGCCTTCAAGCGGATTTATGAGCTGAACGAGAGTAATAATATTACCTATTAAATTAACAAGCAATTTAATAATCTTTTGCTGCTAATAAGCAGTAAAAGAGATTTTTCTCTTTATGAGAATATTAACAATAATATTTTATTGAAAATCTAAATTTGCGAATAATTTTATTACAAAAAAATTTCCTTAGCAGGATTTAAACCTAGAACTCTCAACTTTCCGGAACGGACGTCATACCAATTCAACCATCGAGACTTCGGTAATATTTATAAGCAAATGTCATACTTCAAGGGGACACGTAATAAACAATTACAAATGTGAATACGAATTTAAACCTCGAATCATTAACACATTAATATTCTTATAAAGATGCTAATTAGAAAGAGAAGTATATTAAAAATTATTAAATTGCTTACCAATTCAATACATAATATTACTACTGTGGTTCTACCATATATTTCTGCCATATGTTCGAAAATGTTTCAAGATAAAAACAATTTTAGTGCACAGTTTACAGAATCAGATATACACTACTCAACAAAAAATAGGGAACACCTTCGGATACGCTAAAAATAGATCAATGTTCAGAAAATCGTAACTCGGTAAAAAAGTATCGCAGATAAAAAATTTAAAAAACATTTAAAGATTGAAATCTCTGCTTACGAAATCTATAATTGAAATTTTAATATAATTAATTCTTTACGGAGTTATACGGATACAAATAAATATCCATCAAATCTGAAAATTTTGCACAATTTTTAGCGTGTTCGAAAATATTCCCTATTTTTTGTTGAATCAATTTTCATCGATTCAAATTCCTCTATCATACTGTAAATTATAATATTAATTTCATTTATTAATTCAATTGCATATAAGAGCATATAAGAGATATTTACACTGCACAACTTAAATTGTAAACTTTACAACATTTGTTTACAGCAGCATAGAATTTACATTAAACTTGCGCACAGATATTCGTGCAAATCACGCCATTCGCACTTCATCCGTAAATATAGCGATAAGTATCTTTGAGTAAATTGTCCGCTCGAATAAATTGATTGTTACAAACACGTACAATAAATAAAATAACGCAAAAGCTTTGAATAACGTTAATATATAACAGTTTCTCAAACGAACTTCTAAATAGTCTCTAATTATATTTTAATTTTAGTTCGACATGCTGGCATATATTTAAAAAATATATATAAACAGATTTGACAAAGCTCAGTAAATTAAAAAATTAAGAAATGTGGCAATGAGCCAAGCAGGAAGTTTATGCTAGCAAATTTATTTTGTTTAAAATTAAAATTAACACAAGAGAGAGAGAGAGAGAGAGAGTGTGTGTGTGTGTGTGTGTGTGTGTGTATGTTTTGTCTTTCATCAAGCCATCTTCAATGAAAGCAAAATTGCTATGTAGTAAAAAAGATTCTGTAAACTTTGTAAAAAAATTTTGTAATTGATTATTGTCGCTTGCAAATAGAATTTACAATACAGTAACATAAAATCAAGATTTGGTAATACTGCAATTAATAATCATTGATTGCAGATAGAATATCACTAACACAATTAACGTATGATGTTAAGTATAATATGGTGTGAAATTAGTAAAAATTTTAATAATCATTCTTATCAATCAGATATAAAAAAATGTACGATATGCTGCTATAGAGTGTAATCCGGATAAGAAGGTAATTTCACGTTCTAAATTGCACTTTAAGAATAAAATTAATATAATAGTTGATCGAAACACGGAAAGCATCCGCGTACCACCGCGCTCCGCGATGAACTGCCGCTAGTTCCGGGGGTGGTTTTGTACTGAGAATCTCTGATGATCGGCGCAGCTAGAAATGGAAGGGGCGTGAACGATGAAGGGAATACGAAGTGCCATCTGCTTTACATGTCGATGTTCCAAAATAATGATTATTTACAAAGAAATATAACGAGAAATAAAAAAAAAAGATACTTATTTAAACAACTGATTTTAGCTTTTGGATATTCAGATTAAATTGAAAACGATTATCAGGAATTATTATCGCGTCTCTAAATACATATAAATTTTCCCTTTCCTTTGTTTCAAAATTTTAATTATTCATTTACTATTAGTTTAATTTAAATAGACATTTATTTTTTTCTTTACAGTGTTTATTATTTTTAATTTGTATTCATCAATTTGCTTTATTTTCATAGATATGTTAATATATATGATACATATTGTATTAGCTTATACATTTTTATGCTTTTTTGTTTTATTAAATATTATTTTAAAGTTCCCAATTATTTTGTTAATTAGATTGATTAAATTTTTTTTAATTATAATGGAATTAATAAACAACACATTGTTAACAAATACACATTGTTAATCACGAGGTATAACAAATCCAATCAATAACTTTTATAGAGACGATACCAGACAATCAGGGGTGAGCAGTATTTGAAATACATATATTTAAAATACGTATTTAAAACACTTTTGTATTTTATATTTCATATTTATATATATATACGTTTTTGAGAGATTTTGTATTTTGCATTTAAATACAATTTTTTGAGTATTTTGCCTACCCTTGTATCTATAACGATTAATAAGATATTAACGTTTAGGTATTGTAACATTAACGTATCTATATTACTTACGTTTCTTTAAATATAAAAATTCATTGAGTATGTAATATTCTACAGTCTTAAAAAAATTATTTAAATTTAATAATATCATATACCATTTTGCATAATCATATAAATTGATACATTTTAGTTCTACAGTCTATTTAGATAATGGATACCAATTAAAGATAAACAACAATTTCTGTACATTCTGCATCTAACATTTCAATTTCTTTTAAAGATTTAATTTTTCTATTTCTAATTATATTTACATCTAACCACCTTACAGTAGTATTCTTATCAGTACCATATAAAGGAATTTCCAATAAAATGTCAGCAGCTTCAAGAGCTCCCTATGATTCAACCAGGGCTGTACAAAGAGTTCACAGCATGCACCGCATCAGGGCAAGAGGCCCCGAAGTTTTATACCTCAGACATAATGTGAGAGAATAACGACAGCGATAGAAACAACGATTTCAGCCTAATAAAAACTATGTATGTATCCGATTTCTGATAAGTTGTAATCGTGTTACTTCTATCACTATTTTGCTATATTCCCTCGCATGTCCTGTGCTTTACTTAAATTATCTATTATTTCTCTCTCTATTTAAATTAGTCTCTATCTAATTTAATTTACATATACAAATGATATTCATCTATATTTTATTTACACTTTATAAAAGTAATAATTTAAATTTAATAAATCTATGTGTATAAAATTTAATGTGAAATTATACATCAGTGATGAAATTGTTTTATCTAACAAAGTGGTTTTTATATATTTAACAATAAATGTAAATGCAAATATTTAAGTAACTATAATAGGTAAGTATTTTCTTTTTTATCTACATAATAATTAAAGCGATTAATAAAAACCAAATCTATTTTTTTAATATAAATTATTATTATGCAAAGAGCATAAAAAATTGTTAAATTGTTAGTCAATTTCATTTGTGATATTACTGCGATAATTTAGTAGAGTTATGTTTAAGTCTGAAAATTTGGCGCGCGATTAAAAATCTACATACATAATATATAAATTCACGTAATTATATAGAAGCACCCGAGATCTTGATCGTTACGGCATGTTCGGTTTTTATTGATATAAATTATTATTATACTCTTTAACTTTAATTTTCAAGTTACTATTTTATTTACCGTTTTTCAGTTATAGCAAAAATATTTCAGTCAATACCGGTGTGGGGCTTGTTGGGCCAAAAAAATATCCTATAACTAACCTTATAAATTCAGCTGCTTAAATGAAATCTGTCTTTAACGATGCTTTTTATTTTATGTTAACAATTAAACATATAATTTATATTTAATTATTATTATAAAGAGCAGAAATTTTACTTTTTCCAATTTTGTTAATTAAAACATTTAAAGAAAAAGTAGGTATTAGAAGTATGTAATTATACTTAAGATTAAAACTACAATAAAAGTTTGATTAATATATATATAATCCTTTCATATTTTTAATAATATATAATATTTTATTAAACGATTATGTCTATGATTCAATTTATCCTTCGAGGATACTCAACGCATGCCTCATGGGGGCATATTGATCCACTTTACATCCTTGTAATCAACTTTTTTCATATTTACGAGATATATTAAGAATTTATAAGTACTTACAATCTTATCATTAACACGGCGGTTACTGAATACTGTACTGGAATGTGGCGACCAACTTGATCGACTTGTCCAGAATTCTTCCACGTAAAGAGACCGAGGGAGCCACCTACTATAAAAACATACATGTATGAGATATTTGAATGTAAAATGGCTGTAATTCTTCTGTAAGCCAATAAACTACATTATCTATGTATGAGATACCTCTCTAGTCCTGTAACAGGACTTCTGTTTTATTGTTATAATCGAATCATCTTCTCATTTTCTTTTTTCTCTCCCGTGAATAGGAACATACCCTAATAAGATATGATAACGAGTGCCATCTGTCGTATGAAATATGAAACAAATAACATTTCCTAGAGCAATGATGATGATGACGTATCTTGATGTCAAAATTTGATAGTTTAAACTTTGCACCGCGATATCCCCATTCGTACAGTATTTAAAATACTTAAAAACACTTTTATTATATAATTTTAATCCGAGTAGTAAATTGAGACTACTCAGAATATAATTGATTCAGCCATTTATTGAGAGAACCGATAATCTCGGGTGCTCGCAACTCTCTGATTCGCGTAAAAACAGGTCTCGCGCTTCGCGTTCACTTGATGCGAAACGCTATGCCGTGTCTCTAGATTCAATTTACTTTAAAAAAAAGAAATGAAATGAAAGATACACATATTTTATGAAAGATACACATACTTTTATCTTTCCATTCAAGAATCTTTTATATATATTTGTAATGAAATACATACAACATTTAATTTGAAAAAATTAAAGACAAAGCAGCACAAAATGAAAGAGTTTTATTAAAATAACAAAATTTATTGTGTAAAAATTTTGGTACTGTTAGACTTCAAAATAATATAATGAAATGATTATTAAATAATATCATGTAAGAAAAAATAATAAAGAGACTTAATAAAAAATTAAATATTAATAACATTAAATATAAGAAAAATAATGAAAAGATGAACTAATAATATACAGCATGTGCGTATGGGTAAGCAAATAATTCAGACAGGTGGCTTAGATTTAGTATATACATCGACTTTCTATAATTATAATCTACAAAATATAGCTACAAGCATCATTTTTTAAATCTCACCATACTCCATTTATAATTGGTGCAATGCATTAATCTCGTACTGCGCACAAAAAATTTTTAAGTAAAATTTTGTAAACGAGATATTTCTTAATCTTTCTTAAAGCTTTTAAAATGTTTATCGCATTTGTGAGAGAAGAACATTTTTTTCAATAAAAAAAGTTACTCCTTAATTCAAAATAAAGATAGCTGTTTTAATATCTTTCTACATACGGGAAATATAAAGATTGCAAACAGACTTTAAAGATATACTCTCTATAGTATCCGCTAGTAATGTTTGATTTGACTACTCACAACAAGATAAAAATAACAGTTCGACGAAGAATATACACTTATTATGACATATCTGTATTGATAACATTATATTTTTAATAACCATATGATAAACAAAATATTCCTATTTCAAATGGCTGTAAACGTTTTGTCCTTTGATAATTTTTGTTGATAACTAATACACGTTGTCTAAAGCTAGCAGTGCCGTTTTCGCCGTGCGCGCGTGTTAACATGAATTCTCATTTCCTCCTATTTATTCTTCTCTGTTTCTCGGGTAAGTATTAATATTGTAAATTTTATAAACATTATCTAAAATTATGAAATCTAACAGGATATTTGTGTTACGATCAATCTCTGAACAATGAGATACAAAGGATCATTAATGGATTAGACACCGATATTTATTTAGTTCCTTATATGGTAAGGATAAAAGATTATCTATATCAAGTTCCCAGATAACATTTATGTTACAGATTATTTTTGTCTGCATTATTAAAAGACGTCTTTTAAATATCTTATGTCTAAAACATGTCTAAAAAAAAGTCGTATAGATCTTATGCAACATGCATATGTTATCTGGGTTGTTGCTACAACGTTTATTATCTTTTTGTTTGACTAAAACTAAACTAATATGTTCTATAAAATATATAAAAAGTATTCAAAATCTGATTTGTTCAAAATTAGAGCAATTAAGATTATATGCATATATAGTAAGACATTTTTGTGTTCTTTTAGTTGTCGCTGAGATTAAATGGTATGCATGTATGCTGTGCTGCTATAATAAACGAGAAATGGGCTGTGACAGCCGGTCACTGTATCAACGTGTGAGTAAAATAACAAATTTAGAAATAATGATTTGTGAATCTTTATAAAAAAAATAATGTATATTATAGAACCAAAAATCCTGTGGAAGAGATTACCTTGTGCAGTGGATCTTCCATTCTTTATAAAAATTGTACCGTTCATAACGTAATCAACGTTTTCGTACATGAAAACTTTGACAATAATATCAATGACTATGACGTTGCCGTTATTCAAGTATCACCTCCATTCATATATAATGATTATACGAAAGCGGTTGACTTGGCATCAAACGAAAACGTTCACAGGAAATGGGGTACAGTTTGCGGTTGGGGATACTATCAGGTAATAATAAAGTATTCCAACTTGAAATAATATTAACATTTAAATAGAATAACTGCGATTTTTTTTTTTTAATTTGCTTAATATATACAGGATGTTCGGTAGGAAGAACAAAGAATGATCCTTTCGCGAGCATAGGAACCTAACGCAAGTAAACGTTTTCTTTTACCTCTTATACGTTACTATTGCTTGCCGTAAACAACTCCTCGTGTTGTTATCAACCTATGAGATAATGGGTGGTCATAAAGATCCTCAAGTAAGAAATTGGACACCATACGTTTGGTATAACTATATTTTTTAGGACCTTCTTAAAAGAATTCCAAAGTCATCTGTTTTATCGACTAACGTGTATAATTTTTGTTACGCATTTTGTATAAAGGTATATTTCTATTACACTTGAAAATACCTTGACAGAACTAAATTATACGCATTGACACATATTTGTAAAATTTATACTCAGAACGCAAAAAATTTAAAATTGCGATCTTTATCATTTCTCAGTTCAATACGGCGCGGCGTCTAGAACTGTCAAATCGCATCAACAGTTACTCGATATAAAAGTGTCATGAGCGCGATTGCACGTGACCTAATAAACGATAATGTGATTTAGGTAAGAAACCAAATTACGAAATTGAAAAGAGAATATGAGAATAGAAATAACATTATGAAATATAAAAACTAAATTAAAAAGAACATGGCTTAGTTGCGCGATTGGTATATAGAATTCGATCGCAACAACCCAATTTGATGAATGCTGACATCGATTAGAAATTGACGCCGCAAAGACGCAAGATAAATATCGGAATATCAAAAAATATTAGAATGCAGTTCTTTAACATCTTTAAACCGCCTAAAAAGAGAGGACAAATCTTGAGAAATGCTAAAGATCAAAGACCCTTCACTCAGTTCCACAGAAGTATATACTCGTATAATGCTAAATAATACATGATTTTCGATTTAGTTTAGTTCGTTATACCTGCTTACGAAAGGTGATTCAGTCATTACCGAACATCCTGTATACAAAAATATAATATAATTTTATAAAATATGTAGAAAGACCAAGGTGTTATCGAACCAAATCTGGCTGAAACTCTGCAGTGTGTAGTAGTACCGCGAATAAATAAATGGACATGCCAAAGAGATTATGCAAATAGATTCATAGTGACACCCCGAATGACGTGTTATGGATTTCAAGAAGGAGGCAGAGACGCTTGTCAAGTACGATAAATGCAATATAATGTTTTTATTATTTATTTTTATTCACACCTACTATATATATAAAAAAAACTCGAAAAGGGGCTAGCTCTTCCCTTCCAGTTTCTGATAGTTTTCAGGAACTATCGAAATTGTCTGTACACTAGCATTAATACATCTATTTTCGACTTTCCGTAGCTACATACTATCGATGAAAATTTAATTGTGATTTTTGTAATTTAGCTGTGTTTTTAAATCTGATAAAATTTCAGCGCGTAGTTAATAAATAACTATAAATATGTATGTATATATGTGTATGTACATATGTATATAAATACTCAGCTTGTTACACTTATATAAATAAGCCATACGTATCAAAGGAATGTTAAAGATAAAATTGTCAATGGGTATCAATCTCGTAACTATACTCGATAACAGAAGAAGAAGAACATCAGAAAGAAATCCTTCGAAGCACATAACAAGTAGAACCAATGACAACAACCTGATTGTATAAAAGTCGTAATATACGGCGGAAATATCTCAATTTTATTGCCAGTAGCTACGGGATAATTTCTAAATCAAAAATAGATGTACTGGCATTAGTGTACGGACATTTCGACGGTTCCACGAAAAATAATGAGATGGTCCCTCTAAAATTTTTCTCTTTATCATTCATCATTTTTCATATGATATAGGGTGATTCTGGAGGGCCAATAGTGAATACTGACAACATCCTCCTCGGTGTAACTTCATGGGGCGACGGTTGTGCTGAAGAGAATTCACCTGGTGTATATACAGATACAATATTACTTCGAAATTGGATTAGAAATAAAACCGGCATAAAAACTTAAAAATTCACGCCAACAAATACGTAACCATCGGAACTCTATTTAAAAATGATTATAATGCATAGAATTCTAGAAAGAAAAATTGTCGCTAAAACTGTTATACATATAATCAGCACGACACCTTCTTCAAGTATCGGTCTGTTTCTATATGTATAAAACATATAAAAATATGGATAATTGTTGGAATTTTGTTTTCAAAGTGCAATAAGAGTTTGATATACAAATAGAGTTTTATTAGAACTATCGGGAACTGTTGCTAAAAGTGATATTATTTGTCGTTTTCTTCTGTACTTATTTAGAGAAAAATTGTCATGCCAGATTCGCAAAGTTAGCACGCCATATATCTCCAAATTTTATTTTTTATATAAAAAAAATGCGGAACTTTCTTTTATTTTCATATAGAACTGTAGAACTATAAAAAGTGCTATTGGAACTATCTTTATTTTTTTTAAATATCGTGCCAACTACTGATCATATTATGGCTTTATGATCTGTACTGTGATTGATTGATTTGAGGCTGCTTTCTTTTTAGGAGAAATAGTTGACATAAATGTTGTTCTATTTTTGTTATTCGTTGAATGTCAAGAAGAACAGAACGACATTTGTGAATCGTATCTCTTAAAAAAAGCAGCTTAAGTCTTATGCCTTAAATCTTTTTTCTATGTGCCATGGCCTTAAAGGGATGCTGGAGTTATCTACCGACGGAACTCATTTCGTATTTCTCATGTGATTTTTTGTTTTCTTTATACAGAATAAAAATGCCTTCTCCAGTAAAAGGAAAAACTCAAATATAAATGCGGATATCCAAACAAAAAATATTTTCCCGTATTAATTTATATCTTCCCGTAACTATAATTTATAAAAGTGTCATAAACCTTCAAATTATTAATAATTTTGAAGCTTACAAGAGAAATGGCATGAGAAATACGATTTAACTGTACATAACATTCAAGCGATATATAAGATATAGCAGAACAAGAAATGTATGTAACGTTTTACTTCTTATTTAATGTACGTAATGTTTTACTTAATGTATGTAAATATTTTCTTGATGTATGTAATATTTTAATTGTAATTAAAAATCTGTTCTATTGATAATACAGACGGATCCAGCATCACCATAACTAGTCTATGTGCAACTATAGGTTTGTCGCATCGTATGTTGCAATATATGCTCCAACATGCTTCTATTATAGCTCCTATTCACTTCAATGACTGCGTCTGAGTGAGTAGGAAACCGATAGGAGCATTGTTGGAGTAACCCTATATATTTTAACATTTTTAAAAAATATGTTTATTAAATTTCAAAATTTTCTGTCAGTTATTATAATAATATATAAAAAATTTTATTTAAAAATATACGATATCTATTGAAACTTTAAACGCATATTAAAAATGAAAATCTCATGTTATGTTATATAGTATAAATAAAATTTATATTAAATTTTATTATTTATCAGAGAGTATAAAGAAAATGTTACATTCTACAAACGCAAAAATTGTAAAAATAAATTTAAATTTGGTTAAACAATCGGTCGATCTTTAATGGCTGAATATTTTAATAATTGTAACCCCTCCTTTTTTGGTAAGTTAAGAGTCTGAGCGCAGGATTGCTTAATATGTAACACATTATTAAAACTTTCAGGACAATTAACAAAATTATTTTTGACTTGCTTACAAATGATTAGATTACTTACTTTTGCTTATATAGCATATGGTAGCACGCTATCAAAAGATATAGCGATATCCATTAATTCCATTGTCATATATACCAAAGCTCGTGCGTTGCTTACGTCTACAATTTAAGTCTGTCTTGATGGTCGCGTTCAGCAGACTCAACTGTTGCGGAGAGGATCCGTGAACGCTCGCTGCTATTGGATGATCTAAAAGAATATTTCAATAGCAGTAATAAAAGCGCTCACGGATTTGCTCCGCAACATTTGAATTTGCTGAACGTGACCAATGTATTATAATAAGCTTACGACAATCCTGTGCTCAATTTCTTATTCATTCAATGTTAAACAAAAATTAATAAGACAATATCATGGGGGTACTCTCGGGTTATATTTCCAAACGCAGTCCTATATAAGTAAAAAATAAAGAGCTTAGAGCTGAAACACACGGCAGCCAAACTGTTCGCTCTATTTTTCGTTTCTACGTTTTTATATATATAATCTTATATATAGTATTATTTAAAAAAATTTTTCATATGTATTATATATGGTATTATTTATGAGATGTATAGATACGTATCTCGTAATTGTGATAATATTCTTTGGCTGCGTTCCGAATAATGCGCATGTTCTTCTTTTACATCATATTTGTTCAAATTAATTAATATAATACAATAAGTTTAAATGAAATTAAATTATTCAGAGAAGTCATTACCGTCACATCGGAGATCGGAGTACAAAGTTGGAGCCGTTGGAAGTTGGAGTATGCTTATGTTTACTACACACTGACACTATGGATACTGGACTGGAGCCTGGAGCAGTCCGAATATTGCAGCATAAGGAGTGATGGTAGGGTCCGATCTAGTGGTGGGGGTTCGATGTCGCTTTTCTTTATATTTATTAGCGTTCACCGTATTAGATTAGGGATAAACGGTATTGCAAAAACTCTAATATATTAACATTGAAGTAAATGTTGAAATACATTACGTTTAATTTAAAATTAATTCTTTTCCTTTCTATCTTTTTTTTTTTTTTACCGACGACAGTATTTATATTGGACCCAGGAGTCGATTGTATATCTTAAAATGAGGTGAAGATTACAAAAGTGAGCAAAGTTATTTAGATATTGACCAAATAACTTATTAATATTCTAATGAATTTACTCACTTTTGTAATTTTCACATCATTTCGAGATACACAATCGACCCTAAAACTCAACTTTGTTCATCTAGGGAACATTGACGTTGCTTGTGGAGGATTTTGGCTGTGACATCTGGCAACACTGCGAATTGCGCTGTATATATTACGGTTCAACTCTGCATCTGCAGTTGAGTCCGTTGGTCCGTTGTAGTCCGTTGTCCGTTGAGTCACAATTGATGGTGATTTGACGCGGTTAGCATTAATATATAGTTGAGTACAATTAATTATTCAAGCAAGCATAGTTTAATTCATATAACGTAGCATTTTACCTTATTTGAAAAAGGTTTGTAAATAATAATATTCTTCAGTTTATTGATGTACAGAGAAGTATTTCTCTTATTTGACACATTTGAAAGTAAAGAATTTGTGTAAGAATGTTTACTATTTTACGAATTATAAAACTTGTTCTTTTTAGTTTAAACTTCATAATTTATTTTTCTTATCTTTCTTATCATATTGGAGAAAAAAAAGAGGACAGAAACGTACTGGAAGTTCGACTGTAAAGAATAAGGTAATCTTTTTTAACCTGTATTTGTATGTTTTGTAACATTATCTTTAAATAGGTTATACGTATTAAGGATAACATATATTGATTATTTATAAGAAATACTGATAAATAATTATAATTTTACACATATAATTTTATTTAAATTATACATGTAAGAATACAATTGTATTATTTGAAAATTTCAAAATAATGAAAAATTCTTTGAATTTATGGTTTACATCTTGAAATTTTATAAAATTATGCAATATACATCTTGTATATGTACACTAATATATTAATAGCTAATATAATTAATGTACAGATGGAGACTGATTATGACGATGACCATGGTGGTTGGAGAGATGAAAGAAATCGAAGTACTGATGAATGTAGTGGTGAAGATACATTCGATAATCCACAAGAAGTATTGAACGAATGCTTGGACAAGTTTAAAACTGCTGATTATATTATGGAACCTGGAATTTTTGTCCAACTTAAAAGATACTTTCAAGCTGGAGGAAATCCTGAGCAAGTTATAGAATTATTGTCTAAAAATTACACAGCTTGTGCACAAATGGCGAATCTTCTTGCGGAATGGTTGATCCTTGCCGGAGTAAAAGTCACTGATGTGCAAGCAATGGTGGAAAATAATTTGAAAGATATGATCCTTAAAAATTTTGATCCTAAAAAAGCAGATAAGATTTTTACAGAAGAGGGTGAAACTCCTGCCTGGTTAACTGAAATGATACAACATCCTACTTGGCGATCCCTTATTTATAGGCTTGCAGAGGAATACCCGGATTGTTTAATGTTGAACTTTACTATCAAGCTTATATCTGATGCTGGATTCCAAGGAGAGATTACCAGTATTTCAACTGCGGCTCAGCAAATCGAGGTCTTTTCACGTGTATTGAAGACTGCAATTGCTGGATTTCTTCAGAATACAGAAAACTGGCAGTCTAGCATACAAGAGTGTGCAAAAATGGTGTGTCATGGTCAACACACTTATGTGTACAGTCAAGTTTTGTTGCAAATCCTTGCACAAGAAACCCGCGGTGGTTTCATGATGAAAAGACTTTCCCAAGAAATCACCAAATGTGCACAACAAGATCGACATGATGTCACACCGATAACAATGGCCTTGAATGGTGCAGCTAGTAGTCCTGGAGCATGTCAAGCATTAGCATCTATGTTATCAAGAAACAGCTTAAATCCTGCTGATATTACGGTCTTATTTAGAAATTATTCTACAACAGAATCACCTCCCATCGAACTGTTGCGCAATCCACAATTTTTAGGTAAATTACAACTTTACAATAATAAGAATTTCCTTAATACATCAAAGAATTAAATTTGCTATAATAAAATTGTGTTTTCTTTCTTCCAGAATTACTGGTCGATGCACTTTTCAAACCCGGTGTAAAGATAAATCCTGAACATAAATCAAAATATATATATCTACTAGCTTATGCAGCAAGTGTATGTGAAACAATCCCTAAAAAAAGCAATATCCGCAAAATTAATAAAGACGAGTTAAAAACGACTATTCAGGCAATTGAGAAAGTGCATAATATATGTAACATAAATAAAGGCTCAACAGAACTAATAGCAGAGTTGCACACTTTGTATCAATGCATAAGGTAACTATTGCTTTCAGATATTTTTTCTATGTTAGGGAAAAAACATCTTTACTAATAAATGTGTTTATTACAGATTTCCTGTTGTAAGTGTGGGTATAATACGATGGGTAGAGTGCACTGTGACTGAACCATCATACTTCAAATTATGTACAGAGCATTGCCCTGTACACCTCGCTTTACTGGATGAGGTTGTTGTTTGCCATCCTTTGTTGCATCCAAAAATACTAAGATTACTTGTGCACTTGTTTGAAAGTAAACAAGATGAATTAGAGATACTTGTACAAGTAAGCATATTTCATGTACTATTAATTAAAAGATAAACAGCTATCTCTCTCGAGATCTTATATGAATAATTTTTTTTCTATGTTTAGCTGGAAATGAAAAAGATGTTAATCGATAGAATGGTGAATTTACTAAGCAGAGGCTGCGTAGTATCTGTTGTAAGCTATATAAAGCAATGTTGGCAACGTGGAGATACAGATGTATCTTTAATCAGATATTTTGTTACCGAGGTAAATTACAATACTATTTTTTCAATAAATTATATCGATATTTTACTACAACGTAAATATTTATGATGCTAGGTCTTGGAAGCGATAGCTCCTCCATATACAGCTGAATTTATACAATTATTTTTGCCAATGGTAGAAAATGAAGAGATTACTGGCACTATGCGTGGAGATAGTGAGAACGATCTAGTTTCTGAATTTATTAGTAAGTATGATATTCGAAAATAATTAATAGTACTTTTTGTCACATAAAAAAATTAATATATCTTATTTTTTAGTTCACTGCAAGACACATTGTCCTGTTGTAAGATGACGGTATAAAAATTAATCATGGGAGAGGTTAAATCAAAGTAACAATGCAAAGAATGTTTTTTTTATTTTGTATAGAGATCCTCATATATACTTATGACTATAAATGTATATTGGATGAATTCTGCATCCATCTGTGATATTGTCTAAGCAGTTTCTGTAACAAAAATATTTGTATATACATTGTCGACATCACATACATGAATATTATAAATTTTAAAACGAAGATAAAATTTATTAATAAACATGAAGATAAAATGTTAATTGGCTTTATAAAAAATTTTAATCATTGTTACATTTATAAGGTCATATCTATTCAAACAAATTCTTGTAATATAAAGAATAAATATCAAGTACAAGAAAATTTGTTTCATGCCATTAGTATGTTATTTAAAAGTATAAAATATGTATATGTGACATGGAGAACAATTGTTAGATCTTATACACACATCTGGAAATGACAGCAAATTGATATCGAATCACTGATTAATCAATGATTTCAGTGTTAAATTAACATATAATTATTATTATTTCTCACTCTGAATAAGAGGTAACAGAAAACTGCTTGTATTATATACTATCATCAAGTGCAAAGGCACATAAATGCTTTCTAAAATAAATTGTTACACTTGCATTAAAAACTATTAATATTAAAGACACTATTAAAACAAAAAATGATTGTCTAATGATAGATTCCTAACATCCACTTACTGATCATTACGATCACATCTTTTCAGCTGTAACAAAATACATTGTATGTGTAACAAAAGTATAATAAACGAATATAAAGAATAAATAAATTCTATAAGAATACAAAGTTACAATATACAAAGTTTATAAATGTCCAAAGAAAAAAATAAAAATGACATGATATAAATGACAGAATATTTGTAACGATTACATTATCTCTTCATTAATAAAAATTCGAATGAAATGATAATATGCTGAAGGCATACGTACTGATGGCTTTCCCATCTTTCCATTGAGTAAACTTCACATTAACTTCATCACGTTTAACAGCATCTACCCTCAAGTCGGCTTTCAAGGCTTGCCTGACTAACCTAGCTGCAATTTGAGAGTAGTTGATGTAACTGTAACAAGATAAAATGAAAGAAAATCCGTATAAATATAAATTCTCTACCTTTTAAAATATTTCATTATCTACAAATAACAATTAATATTGAACAAAAATAAAATTTTACATTGATTAACGATCAAATGACAATAAGATTACATAATGCAATCCTGATGTAATATTATACAATATACTTGACGCATATCAGGAAGAAACGTAAAACACAGAGGATGATAATAATTTTCTTACTTCAATCCTGCCTGCCTCCACGCTGACATTTTTTTCTATTAATTTGAGAAGTGAAAATTTTAATGAATAACACACAATTGACACAGATAGTAGTGCCAACTGCAGCAAAAGAAATGATTCCAAGAATCCAAGTTAGAATCAGGTTATAGCAGAGAGAAACCTGACAAGCGGCCATAGAGGCCTTTTTCTTGTAATGCTTCTAACTGCCCGTA